TGGAAAAATAATGTTATTATTATATTGTATAATATCTCAATAATGCAATTTTGCAACAAGCAATCAAAGAGCAAAAATGTTCGGTAAATTAATATAAGTAATAAATTGTGACATATTAATTATGAGAAGTACAAAGAAGAATAAACAATAAGAAAAGATGCAATAAGGTAAATAAGGAGTAAAATAAAAAACGAAAAAAATATATAAATAAAGAAATATAAATAAAAAAAATATATCGCGCAATACTACGTAGTATTCAAGAACTTTTTAGGCAGTCAATTGGAGCAAATAATTTTACAGATGCATTCTTACTCCACAAACAGTAACGCGACAGAATACATAATTCCCAAAAGATTAAACGTGACTTGAATTCAGTAGTATTTCTTGCATCTATTACAACTCACATTTTTTTACTCTATAACGTGACTGTTCTAGCAATGAGGTGAATTCTCTACGAATTTTCTTCATATACTTACAAGAATTTTTATGTATGTATCTATTATATACATTAGATCCTATTTTCTGAAAATCTTTTATTCCGTATTTTTCTTTGTCAGAAACTTTATTAAAATCAATAATTATAATGTACTGTTTTTTTTATATATAAAAGAGAACATTAATATCTATCCCTTCCTTAAATTTATTACATATTATATTATCATATATATATATCATTTTACGTACAAATCTTTAAATATTTAAAAATAATGATAAATATAATTTTGTCTTTGATGTATAATAATATCAGCTATAAAATTTATTTTTAATAAATTTTATAATTTTGATTAACACATATAGACATAAAATTGTACATTGTAAATAATTTTTATCATGTTTACGTAAAATACATATATATTTTTTAATAATGCAGTGTAAATAACTAGTATACCACCTAAAAATCTTTACCGGAATAAAATTTCCCATGTCAATATGCGTTAATGAAGCCAATTTTACAAGCAGACCCTTCAACCTTTAAAAAGCTCACGAACAGCACTGCCAGCAGAGAAAGCAGTTTCGCATGCATGCGCTTAATCTGTACAAGGAATCGACCCCTTCCGTCCCACCTTTTTCATCAACCCAAGGTCATACATACGAACCTCGAAAAGTTCTCAGAAAGAGCTTCTTCAAGCTCGGATTTTCGAGATTCGTCTATTCGAGATTTCAAGTCCTTCAATCGATTGCTGCCCCTTCCATTTCACCCCTTTTCGTTAATATTTGAAATATAATATCGTTCACGTCATTTAGGTGGCACACAATGGTTAATTCGGTTGGTAGAAAACCGCGTCATGAAAATTAGTTAAAACCAATGTCGCATTTACCTCTTTTTCTTCTTATAGGAAGCATTTATCAAGCTTCTCCCCTGGTGAGATGAGACTTAGTCGATATTAGTCTTTAAGAAGGATATTCCACCTCGTCGTCATCAAACGATAATCAGAAAATCGAAAAAAGAACACGTGGCTAGCGAATCAAATAAATTCGGAGAAATCGCTTTTCGCGATAATGAATTAATTATTATTTCAGGATGACAAACTTTTTTATGCATGTATATTAATAAGAGTAACAATAAGCTATCTGTAGAAAGCGATGCATATATTTTTTCTTTTTATCTTAAGTTATTTAGTTTTAAATTAAATAATTTAAGAATATAACAAAAAATATAATAAAAAATATCTAGATCTTTTATAATACATATATATCTTATATTTAGATATAATCATTAAAAGATATAATCTATTAAAAAATAGATTTCAGTTAATTTAGTTTTTATATCATTCCATTATTTAAATTAACAAATACTTAAATTAAAAGATACTTTTTTAATTTTATTTTAACAATGTAATTATTAAATGTTAAATAATTTATTAATTAAATTTGTATTTAATTAAAAGATATGACGTCACAGTGGATTTTAGCTGTGGTATTTCGGGACTACGAAAAAGAGAAGAAAAAAATATTAACGAACCGGATATGAAACGAAACTGCACCATCGAACAGACCATCAATCATTTCTCCGGTTTCCAATTTTTCTCCCAATCGCGCTGCAGCGACCTACCGAAATTTTTCATGCTATCTGCGTGTTGTGATAACGTATTGCAAATATGTAATGTAAATTCTTCAAATCGGACGTGTCGAAAGTTTTCCGTTTAATATTTCGATACGTCTTTCATGAATAACGGTATAGAAAAAACGTATAAATTCAAGAACTCTAAATATAGTTATCTTTATATTCGGCATTTAAAAATTAAACATATATGTTCTAAATATCATAAATAAAACGATGTGCAATAGTTTTTATAAAAATATTTACAAATGAAATGTATATTTCTTATCAAGATAAAGTTCTTTAAATCTTTTAATAAAACTGTTTTAAACCTTTACGAAACCTACAAAATTCAATTCCTTATAATCCATTAAGAAATTATTGATTTAAAATTAGAAAGAGAGAGAACCTTATCCTGCTTATTTAAGTTTAAATTCTTAAAAGATTTTTCTCCTTCAAGTCAGTGTAATTTCAATCGCAAACTAAAATGTTTTTTTATTACAAATTATTAATAGGTAAAAGTAGTCGTATTGTATGCTTTAAACTGAGAAAATCTTGCTTTTATCTGTATAAATAAAATATTATATTTCAAAAGCACGTGTGCTAAATTATGAAAAAGATATTCTTATAAAGTAAAAATTTTATTTCCAAAAATTAATAATAGATATAATCATAGCATTGCGATTTTTCCAATTCATTTGTTCACATTTTTGTATTTATGGTTGAATAATTGATTCAGCGACGGTCGGTAACGGATATCGTTCGAAGATACGTAGAGATCAACACTTTCTTTCAGACTTTAGACCAATGGATATCGCTAACCAGTATGAGTTACTAACGGTAAGTCAGAAAATATTACGATATAAATTTTCAATTGATAACGAGATTGGAAAAAAATTTTTTTAACTCATAATTGATCTTATAAATCATCATGAGTATAATAATTTAGTATAGAGTTTATGCATAGCAAAATTAAAGTGAAATAAATCAAAAAGTTATAAAAAATTTTTTATTTTAAAATTAAATTATCAAATAAGAATGTAAAATAACAACTCAATGTTAACATGTTAATTAAATTAATTAGCATTTCCAATCAAAATAATAATAATTCATAGATTGCGTAGTTTAATTATTTCAATTTCCTGTGTAGAGTATTGTGTGTGTAATTAAATTACAACTACAGTTAATAATCATTATTCGTGTATTATTCGTCGCGCAATAGAATAAGTATTCTAATGTACTTTGGTCGACACACATTTCTTTATTAGTGAATCAATCATATAAACTTATACGGTTTAAAGTATTAAATATTGTTTATGGTATTTTGAATACATAAATAATTCTAATATATGTAATAATCATGCGCTAAAATTCTTTTCATAAATTTAATACATACACATTTAATATATTATACTTATACTATATGTTATAAAAAATTAATGAATTAAAAAAAATGCGATCACGTATATAAGATATATCTGCGGTCAAAGAGCATAGTACATTTTCTTTTTTACAATTCAAGGCAACAAAAACAAAAATCCTAACTATAAACTTATATAAATAATTTTCAAAAATTGCATTTTAATAACTCAGTCATATATGTGCGCCATCATAAAATTATTTAAATCGACAAGAAAGCATTAAAATGATCAAATTATATATAAGGTGTGTATTGTATTTTACTTAATCAAGCTCTATTCTACATTAGTACGATTACGGATCAAGGTTGCAATATGCAGAAACATAATGTACGTAAAAAAAAATTGTCAGCGCAAAGAGACAAGGATTACTACATTGTTAATTGCAAGAAATATGCTCCGAGTTTAACATAAAATCTCCATTCTTTTGCATAATTTCTTCTCTGTTTTTATTTCTTCATGTAAATTTCTTCTTCTACAAATATTTAAAATTTAAAAATTCCATAATTTAAATGAACAACAATATTTCTCATAATTTTTCAACAAATCAAATAAATCTAATGATTTTAAAACAATTTTATTAATACAATACATTTAACAAGACTTTAATTACAAATAATAAGAATCAAATACGGAGCATTTACGCCTACTAAATATTTTTGTTTGTTTTTCTTTTATTCAAATACTAAATATAAATATAACATTTTTGACCACTTTAACTGACTATCTTCAGTACGTCGAATTTTTACAAAAAACACGCACTAACGAATTATCGTAATTAATTTTAGAATACATAAAATTCTTATTTCGTATTATCAATTGTTTATTTGTTATACGCTTCGATCGTCAGCTACTTTCTTACATCTAGTTTCTTTTTTGTTCTTAATTATTAGTCTTGCGAAAACGTTATACTTATATTTAGTATTTAAATAAAAGAAAAACGAATAAAATCATTCAGACGTAAATGTTCCTTGGTTAAATTTTATCAATGAACTAACATTCTTATTATCTCATATAATTTCAATAATTAATTTCGATTTCTTGGAATAATTAGTAATATTAATGACTCCACTTTATTTGAATTGTAAAATATTAATTTGTAATAAAATATATTCTATATTATATTCACCTTTTTCTATTTACATATAAAGTGATAGAGAATTGGTAAGTTATTATTTAATAAGTATTTGTGCGAAAATATATATTAAAAACTATTGCAAGAAAGAGAGAAAGTTAAAGGAAAGGAAATTTTTTACCGTTATATTTATTATTTCTCTCTCTCTCTCTCTCTTGCGCGCACAAGTATATACGCATTTTTGTAAGTGATAATTCATTACAACATCGCAGTCCAGTGGCAGTACAAGTAAAAGTGGGGACTCACTCCCACTGTTCATATACAGCCGCGACCGTCTCTCTCTCTCGCAAATTCATTCGTGAGACTACTACGCGAGCGTGTCTCTCGAGTTTGTCAAACTCGCGAGTAACGGACGGCAAAGTGTTGTGAGACCACAATTCTCTTTCATCAAATTCAGTGGAGCATTTGCAACCATGAACAATTCCATAGAGAACTTCGCCGTCCATGCGGATATTAGCTGGGACTCAAATTATGTGCCATCCGCTATAGAACTCGTAGAAAGTGAGTCTCGACAATATCCGGGTACCAGTGTGGTAAATTTTACGGATAAAGTTTGATGTTAATAGAATTGGAATTTTTTTTTTTAAAGAAAAATGGAAAATACAAAGTTAGGTGGAATAATCTATATTTTTAGACTAAAGAAAAACTTTCCATCATAAAATCAATAATTTCAATGTTTTCTACTAATAATATTTAGTAAACTTATAATAAATTTGAATATTACTAGTAATTATATAATAAAATGATTAATAGCTTATTAAATAATAAAATTATCATTTCAAAGATATTATAAAACAAATCGATTAAATAATATGAATTACGGTTATTATTAAATTGTGAAGAATTTTCCTAGATGTTCTTATGATAATTATAGATTTTACAATTAAATAATAATATATATTGATGATTTATTTATTCAATTTATTTTGTTATCAATTTCCTTATTTTACAAATATCAATTGGAATTTATTTGCGTTGTAATATAGTGTTAAAGGTTCGAATTTATTCCAAGATACCATTGTGGATATAATGATAGTAGAAAGTGAGTTACGTATATCTAAAGCAGGTATTCTGAGTTGGTGCAACAGAAATCGCGTAATAGAAATACATTTGTCGATGTCTATCTTGTTTTGAAATTTTGAGTAAAATAATTTTCATATAATAAGAATATGCAATATTTTTGTGCATACATTCTACGTTTATCTACATAGAAATATATTAATTCGTAGTCGTTTTTTTTTTTATGAAAGTGAATTTATCGCAATGCATATAATGTGGATATATTTGCGTTGAGCGATGTAAAACGCATCGGTGAAAGTTGGACTCAAGTTTGCCTGATACACGAGACCTTATTCGTGCGAGTTGAACATCCTCGAAAATCCTCGGACGTAACTCGACGAGTACTTGTTATTCTTAAGCGCTTATACACGAGTTATCATATAGGAAATATTTCTAAATTTAAAAGCAAATAGAAAGAATCAAAAATCTTTTATACTCTTTTCGATTATAAAAATATTGTATCAAGATAAATAACTTTAATACATATACAGGAAATATAAATATGGTATAAAGTCAAAATTATATATGTTAATAAAATTAATACATTTTTCGAGGTACAAAATAATTTAAGTAGCTACTTTTATGAATTACGCGAATGTTTAACATTACGTGAATTACACAATTGTTTAAATCGCAAAAGATTATGTAATTTATGCTACTCGTCATAAAGGTTATTGAACGAATAAGTTAAATACTACTTTTGATGAGCACCGTGATTTGCAAATTAATATTATGCATTATGTCTTTATATTATACATATGTACTTTTCTTTGTTTAGAGTATATAACTAATATAACTTTTTATTGACTTCTATATATTAAATATAAATAAATTTTCACTTAAATAATAATCTTTTATTTTTGCATAAAATATTGTATGATATGATGTCAAATTATTTTTAGGCATTTTCAATATATCTTTCAATATATATTAATTAATTTCTTTTAGAGGTTTAGTTTCTTGATATAAGTCTTCTTTGAATAACTATTTCTTTTGATATCTTATACAATTTTTTTCAGATAGTTACGCGATAACATTAAAACGATATGTGATATTGAAATTGATAATGTAAATTAAAATGAAAAATGTATTGACTCTAAAATATTGTAAGTACAATTAACTATTCTTAAGCTACAGTAAGTTATTTGTACAGCGTCTTTACTCTCGTATTGACTTTCTAAATCACAATACTAATAAAAAACTTTATTAGTATAACTATAATTTAAACTTTATCTTTGTTAGCTTTATCATCAGTATTTACTGATAAAATAAATCAAAAATAATGATAATGACCTTGAGAAGGCGTGTATCATCTCACGTAATTCTATATAAAGTTACTAAAATTTCAAAATATTTTATATCTAGATCTAAATGATCAAGATGGTTGTTTTTATTTTCAATAAAATCAAAATTGAAAAGAATTAATTTTAGCATAATTAAAAAAACAATATATTAATAATTAGATTTCGCCGGTTTTTTATAATGCAAAAAATATTTTTAAAAAACGGTCTAAATCAAACGGTAATAAGATTTTTTTATAAAATAAATTTATAGTTTACAATGTCAATACAATGTTAATAAAAATATAAAATATATAAAAATATATAAAATAATATAAAATAATATCGAACGTTTTTTGGAACTCACACGGGTCTTCTTCAGCGATTCTTATAGATGTTACGATATCATAGAGATAAAAGCATAATCTTACTAGGTCTAAGCAACATGATGTAGTAATTCGTTTGAAGAAACAGAATCTCCTGTTTTTGTGTGAATGTGGAAATTGTGCAATAAAATGTATGAAAACAAGAGTATTTTTAAGTATATATCTATAAATCTGATTCGCGCAAGTGTTACAATCCATATATTAATATATTAATATACTTTAATACTCCAATAATATATTAATTCTCTAATATAATATATTAATACTTTTATTTAAATTATACTATGTATTCATATACACTATTAATTTATAAACAAACCAATGTTTATTTTAAAAATTAAAATAGAAAAAAAGGAACAAAATTACCAATTGTCCTTATAAAGTTTTATTAAAAACTTCTGTTACTTATTAATTTTTTAAATTGTTTCTTTTTACAGATTTAGATGCATTGGGTACTGTACTATTAAGCGTCGGTTCAATCATTTTGGTCCTCACAATATACTTCTTTGCCAATGCTTGTCGTAATATCCTGTCTCAAAAAGAATCGGAATTTTATAAAACAAATGCTATTATAATCCTTTCAATATATCCTATCGCAAGCGTTTGCAGCCTCATGGCGATTGCGATACCAAGGTAAAAAGTAAAGGCCTATTGCGATTATTTAACGATATCGAAATAATGAGAGAAACTTGCTAGTTAAATATTGTATAAAATAAGACATAAGCATTATGCCGTTTTTATTTTCACTTCATACTTTAGATTTACCTTAAATCTAGAATTTAAAACAGAACTCTATAATTATATGTATAGGTATACAAAATAAAAATAATTTTTATCAATAATTTATATATATGTATAATAATTACTAATAAAACACTTTATTATAAAATTTTAATGTATAAGATTATTATTTTCTATAGTAAAGTCAAAATTCTTAGAAAAATATTTTCTTAACATATACAATTAAAAATAAAAAGGTAAAATTCAAAGAATTTTTTAAAATACATGAAAATATAGATATGATATTTATATTACGTTTGTATTTATTATTATATATATTAATTTTTTATTATAATTTATATTCTAGTAAGTATTTGAATAAATAATTTTTTCTCTCTTTACAGAAAAATTATTCTATTTACAAATAACATTTTTAAAAAGATAAAAAAAGAAGAATAAAATGAACACAGCATAATTAGAATCAACTTGCATTATCAATTTGACGCATCGCTGTTTCATATTATCAGATAACTATGCAAATAATGATTGCATTGTCAATGACACTACTTTTTGAAATAAAATTCTAATAACCTTCTGTGTTTCATACATTAAATATTGATTTAGTGACTCTCTCTCTCTCTCTCTCACTTAAAAAAGTTATCACATGCAAAAAAATTTTATTCGAACCTTCTTTTCGCTTTCATTTCTATCAATTTATATTATATGTACATTATTAAATAATGTATTTATAATTAATTATAAAATTAAAAAAATAGATTTTATTAATGTTTCTAAATTTTATTGTTCATAAAAAATTTCATTTTGTCGATTAATATTAATAATTTCCCTGGAATCTCACTCTACGCTCGTTCAGCAAAACTTGCGAGATAAATGACGTTTGTTTGACTTTCGACAGAGGCCAGTTACTATCGGAGGCTGTAACTCAAATTTTCTTAATGATTTCGCTGTATCGGCTCTATCTTCTCCTGCTGGATGTCGGTCGCCGGAAGATCAGCGAGACGCCAGCGTTGATGTTACGAGTCGGGCCCTGTTGCTGCTGGCCCTGTCTGCCCTTTCCGAACCTTCAAATGACCGACGCTAATTTGTCTTGGATAGGAATTTTGGCCCTACAGCTTCCTATCGCCCAGGTAAAAAAAATTTCCCTCCCCCTTCTGTTCACGCTTATCACTCTCTCCTCACGCTAAATAACTATTATAATTCCATGCAAACTGACGAAAAATAATAATTAAAATTTATATAATTAAATTTTATAAGAAGCAATTATTGTCTATCATATAAGATTAATTTAATTTTTTTAATACAGAAAACAATTAAAATACAGCCATACTTATTGTATTTATTTCTTTTTACCATAATTAGTTATACTTAAATAATTAATAATTCATCAAAATTGATTACATTAATTTAATTTTTTCTTTGCTTTGAAACTTTTTACTTTCATTATAATTGAAGCTAACACAACTTCTGATATATGTATAGAATAAACTAATTTTCTTATAATTGGTTTAAGCATCTCTTTTTTAACTATCTCCTTTTTTAGAATATTAATAATTTTGTTAAATGAGATTTTAAATAGAATTTTTAATAGAAAAACTGAATTTTCTTTAGATAAAAAATCTCCATCACATGTATATTTCAAAAACTAACACAATAAATCAAAATATTTTTCTATATAAATTACTTTGTTAAAAAAAGTAAATAACTTCTAAAAAAAATATTCTAGAATTGAATAAACTATTTTGCAGAATTTCAAATAACAAATATTCGAAATATCAAAATATTTTTATTTAAAAAATGAATGAAATTGATAAAGAATATAGAAAATCTTTGAAAGTTTAAAAAAAAAGTTACATTTTCAGAGTCTTCTCTATTTCATATTGCTCTATATGGAAGCCGAGGATCCAATGCTTGCCACGCAATGTATTCCGTTTCTTCAGCCAGTTGTGGTTGTCAGCATACTTCTAGGGATATATAGTTTAACTGTCACCACAAAGACTTTGCATACAGCAGTTCCAGGTATATAATGAGTGTGATTATTTAAAAGGTTCTTTTGTCAAACATTTTATGGAAGATTTACTTACATTATACTAGTCTTCTTCAATGTCTATGGCTTTTTCTTCGTACATATGATTAGCAATTAATCAGCATTTTATCTTTTTATTGTAAAAATTACTTAAAATGTTAAAAATGTAAGAGAATTTGTATATTAGTGGGTTAACATTTTTTATTTATCAATGTAATCATTTTATTTATTGCAATATATTTATAGTAAATTTGTAATGAAAAAATGTTTATAAACTGAAAAAAAAAACAATCCTTTTACATATTTTATTCCTACGTTTATTTTATAACAATTTCAATTTTATTTATATTATATGTATTAAGCTCGGTATTAAGTGTGGTAACTTCTAATTCAATTTCATTTTTACGCGATGATGAGTTCAATTAGTTTTTCTCTTTTTTAATCGAGAAACTTTCTACACATCTTAATCAAAATGTGTGTGTGCCTCTATCAAAAGAAACTTATCACTTTATAAGTCGAATAATAATTAATTTACCAGAACAATTATATGCATGAATGTGTGTGCGTGTGTGTGTGTGTGTGTGTTGTGTGTTGTGTGTGGTTGTGTGTGTTGTAGGAATTAATTTTTCAAAAAATGCATGTTGCTGTTGTTCTCATATGACATTATTAAGAATGAAAGTTCCTAATCGTTTGTTTTTGTTTCAGAAATCAAGTTACATTATAAGACACTACTGTTACAATTGGTACTATTATTCTCAAAGCTGCAGACAGGTATTATCAAAGCTTTGCCCGCCACAGGCGTATTTCCGAGTAATCCACCTCTCACTCCGGCAATTTACGCCAACGGTAATATAAATATTGCTATTTTTGCTTACATCTGTTTATTTTTATGTATTTTTGCTTTTCCTAACGATTAAAACTGATTAAAAAGACACTACAAATTATAAATATTATAAATCTCCAACAGAAAAATGACTTTGCTATAACATTACTATTAAATATATCTATGATGAAATAGATGTAAATACTGTAAATGTGTTATCCAATTTATTTATTTATATAGAATTACTTATTTTTTATTTATTTATTTGATTAACTTCCACAGTGTTGTAATAAATAACTGTTCTATACAGATCACTTATATAAAAATTTGTAAGGTACAAATCAAATAACTTTTTTAAACATACATATTTATTTACTTATAATATAGATATTTAATTAAAATTATAACGTTTAATGGTTATATTGACTGTATATGTGTAATAAAACGGACAATTAATATATTTTAAACTTTATTCGAAACATATAAATAAGCTGCTGAAATTGTACTTATATAATCTGTTATTTACTATTATACCACGTTCCGAGAGACTGATAAAAAAACGATTTCATGGTCCGATAGTTTCTTTAAACAATGATACTTATAATCTGTTATTTACTATTATACCACGTTCCGAGAGACTGATAAAAAAAACTATTTCATGGACCGATAGTTTCTTTAAACAACATGATAAGATTGTTCAACTCTGAATTTAGAATACGTTTTTACATTTCATTGCTCCTACGACTAACTGTAACAAAGAAACTCGTTTCACTGAAAAAAGAGACGTCACGCAGCATCCGTGAGCACCATAAAAATTCACTCGTTACACGTATTATGAATAAATTTCTCAAACTAACGTAAGACAACATGTGGTTCTAAAAAAAGACCAATTTTGGATATTATAGTGTTGCAGAATATTTTATTATATATTAATATCTTATATTTAATAATAATACAATTATTATATTATTAATTCTGCTAAAATAATTTTCAAGTCTCAGAACATTTTCAAATTACCTTATAAATCCTTCATCCTTTTTTAAATATACAATTTAAATATTTGAGATAGTTAATTAATATAAATTTATAAAACGTTTCACAATATATATAGTAATACATTCTTTCATTAATAATACATCAATTTAAATGTAATATAAATGATAAGATCGCATCATATAATTCTCCTCTTCTCGATTTCAGTGACATGCAATGCGCTGATGCTAATCGAAATGATGGTGCTCTGCTACACCGCGTGGCACGTATATTACGTCGATCTAGAGAAGAATCAAGAAGTAGACGCAACGAATAAAACGCCAAAGACTTCAGGTCAGGTAGACGCGACGAATAGCAACGACAATAACAAACAGTTTCCTGTAATAGTGACTGCGCGAGATTTAACAAATCATCAAAAAAATTAATTTTTAAGGACGTTCATTGAAAAATTTTCCAAAGGCATATTTGACGCACGTAAAGAAAAAGATAGCATACTCGTCGAATAAAAATAACTCGATATATTCCAAGCTTTTACTATAGATAGCTCGCTAAGATTATACTTATAGCACTCGGAGATAGCACTGATCTGCACATTTTAGCGATTCGAGAATGACTTTCTCTAATCAATTAGAAGAGATATTATGCACTTTCTATTTTTCACTTTTTATCCTTTTAATCCTCCTCGCGTGTTGATAATGATTTTTATGATGTATTCTTATTGTCAGAAATAAGTAGAGACATTACACAAATGTAAAAATCACGAAAAGATCTATAGACCTAGATTCTCGTTATATAGTTCTTTGTAAATAGCGATTCGTTTAAGATTATACAGTAACATATTAAATATACGAACAAGTTTATGTATATAATATACATATATATTTCATATACGTAATTGAGAAGATCTCCATTTTTTTTTAAGAATCTTAAGATACCTAAAATAATTTAAGATAACAAAGTGAAGTTAGTTGTAAAAAATGTACTCTTTAATTTCTGAGTAATTTAAGAAAACGACAAGAAGTCATAGATGCTGATTAAATACGATTGCAGGAGTCATTTTATCAGAAATATATTATGTGCGAATCTCCTTTTTAAATTCGATATTTAATTACGTATAGTACTCTAATGAAAAATAAGAAATATATATGTTCTCTGTATTCTTATTTATACTCATTCAAAGCACAGTCATTTTTTTTGTATCTACCATATATTTGAAGAGATACGTTAATATTCCGGTAACGTATTTTCACGAAATATATCAAGTATCTCCGTCTTAGCGACTCTTCTCTTTCAAGGAGACGAACATTCTACAGATAAGGGCTTTCAAAAAATCTGTTTTTTGACTTGTTACTTTATCTTTAATCTTCCGCTTTACGTACATCACACTTTGTTCGTTCTCGTAAAATGTTGTCAAGTTTTACAATCAAAACTATAGATCTTTTTAACATTTTCGGAAACTAACACATGTTATCAGTATAATTTTCTAGAATATTGGTGAAAAAACCTTTAGAATAATCTAATTATTTACGAATACGTGTGTGTATGTATACGCGCATAAGCGCACTTGTGCATCTATGTACAAGAAACAAATATGAAAAAAAAAAGCATTAACAATAATAAACAATTTATTAAGATCGCATTATGTGAATAGTATAACAAATAAGAGTTAAAGCCTGTAATGATTAAAATTGGATCTTAGATGTTTAAAGAATTTCCATGTAAATTTATACACCAAATATATACATATGTGTATTGTGTAGTCAGTGGAATTGAACGACAAATTAGTTTTTCAGACTTACAATATTATAGAAACGGAACTGTAGTAATATCACAAATTAAATCAACAAGCAACTTATTTAATAATTTAATGCTCAATATTATTATCTTTCATTATATTAATGCTCAATATTAGGCCATTCTATAATACAATATACAGATATTACTTTGCTAAAAATCTGTAAATAAATTAATTGCAAAAAATATCATCTTGGCCGTGAATCAAATCCAGATTTCTAGCATTCCGTGTAAGTATTGTAAAAAGCATTAAGAAAATAGAGCCACGATCAATATCAATATAAATGATCTTCATATTAATACAGAAATTATTTCTACATTTCCATAAATGAATGAAGAATGTAATTTATTATTAATAAATTAATATTTTATTAGCATATAAACGTTAATTTTAGATATATTAAAAGAATTAACACGTGTACGTTGATGGTGGATATCAGCGGCGACGGAATGAAATTATCAAACTGAAAGAGTTATACTCAGTTTTCATCCCTTTCACCGCCATTCTTTCACGTCCACCCTCTAGAGAGGACAAACGATTATATCGCGCTCGAACGAGAAAAAAGAAATCTTACGGGGGCCTGTGTACCCCCTCATTTTTCGAATGATTTCAGGGTCCGCTTGCCGCCTACCTGCGACCAGGCCCACCGAAACTACAAAACACACTTCTCTGTCTCTCCCTTTTAACCCCCCCTTCTTACTAAGATGCAACTCGCCGCTTGGGACTCGATCCTCGACCCTCTTCACGGGACGTGATCGTGATCGAGCTTTACAGCCGTAATAGATTTAACAGTTTCCTTCGAAGGATTGGCTTAAAGAGAGGAAGGGAAGAGAAAAATTTGCTGAAATTGAATAGGTTGCTTCCTTTTCCACGTGGATAGATAGGTACTTCTTGCTTTAATTGTATCGAATTGGAAAAGCGATCCACATCTCGAACAATTCCATATTTTAACGAATTACTCATACAGTTATATTATTGTTGGTAATATTATTATTATTATGCAATCTTTATTATACACTCGCTTATAAATAATTAAAATGGATAAAAATTAATATATTATTTCTTTTATTTTAATTTTCTAATAAGATATCGTTTTACACACAAAAATTTATTTAATTTAATTATATTTTTAGAAGATGTATGTATTTTATACTTCTTTTGCTCTGTTATCAATTTTCATCGTGAAATATAAGCAATAAAAACAAGAATAAATTTTTGCAAATAATATTTCTACATTTATCTGGATGTTTTCGAACATGCGATGTCGAACAAGCGGAAAAATATTTTCGTATCGATATCCTATCCTTTATCGCGTACTTGAAGAATTTCGAATATTATGGTTAGTAGGTTGAAAAATCATCGTATCGTAATTGCCGAATTGCTGATTGGTAATCTGCTACGGTAGAACTAATTAAGGCACTACCCGGGTCTTAAATAGGACGTCCAAATTGTTTTCTACGCCGTTCGTCTCGCCCCCCCATCGCCTCCCTTCCGACTAGATAGCCTTGGGAAGAGACGAGATAAAAAGAGAAATTGGACGATTTCGCGAACTAATGAGCTGACCCTAGCAGTTTTAACATAATCATCCTTATGATTTATAATAGAAGATCGTCTCTTCCCACAGACATTCTTTTCGCAATGTGTCGCGTCATTTCTACCTCTTCTGAATTTATTAAAACATTGGAGTTTATATGTATTGTTATATAAACAACAATTTGGGGTACGTGTGCATAGAAAAGTTTTCAACGTTGAAAGAAAAATAATTTTTTTATTCAAAATCTTTTTTATTTTTTGTTCATTTATTTCATCTTTTACATTTCTTTTGAAATAATTTTCAAGGATTCTACGCATAAAATTATTAGAATATTTCTTTAGATATACTTCGATTCAGAATTTTCTCATTACTTTCAGAATTATATGATATATTATATCTTTTTTCTTTTCCCCTTGCGCTCACATGATATATCTTTTGAGCGATATTCCTGTACATAATACAAATTGCCAGTTCATGGCTAGGGAAAACATGTCGGAGAACGAAGAATCGCTCTCATAGGATTTTCAGATCTCTGGAGAGAAGGACGGACTGCCCCACCCGGCCATCTGTTGCACGCGAGAAATCGGAAAACGCTTTCCAGAATCAAGTCGACATATGGCACGCGAGCAGACAGATTTATCTTTAGACGGGAAAAAATACAGCTCCGTCGTGGGGTTCTATCTGCCAAAAATGTTGAGGAGATGAGAAGAGGCGGACAATTATTCTCTATTTTACAGAGAGCTAAGTTGACGCCAAAAGAAAAAAAAAAAATGAGGCGAAGAAAAAACAGCGATTGAGTTGAACGATACTTTAATATACATACAGTTATGACACATGTATTCAATACCTGCTTCACCTTAATGTTATTTATCATAAAGTAGATCTGATATTTCGCAATCAGTTACATTGCAACAGACGTGATATACCATTCAAAATAATGTCATATCGATAAATATAAGTTTGTAGTCACTGATCGTGCGCAAGAAAGTTCTAATTAAGGAAGTAGTTAACACGTCTTGCTACACACTCGCATATTTATCCAGCGTCGATTTATAATATCATAAAGCCGCGGTATTCCGTTCCAGATTGCATTTTAGTTTCTTATACCATTACCTGCGCTACATGTTTTAAGGAATATGCAAATCAGGATAAACGCTCGCAAGAACGTCTCGGACAGACGAGGTTTCGTGCGAGGCTGCGCATCTGCATGAGAGTAGATAGACGCTCAGAATCTGAGGTCCTTCTGAGATCTCTCGAGAGCGAGGGAAGTGGCTACTTAGAGTTTCGAGCCGCTCTTTTAACGAGTAACGAACTGACAAAATACACGATAACGCACTTATATAAAACGCTGCTAAGTTTTTGTGTACATATGATCCCCGTCACGGTATTTTAAGCCCTCCTCGCATGACTAGCGACATGATCCTAACGGCGGTGCGTTTTTAATACATCAATAAAAAGAGACGTGTACTGAATCATAAGTGCTACCAATCACATAGCTGATATGTCATGGTAAAGTGTAAAGAGAGTTACAGCACAAGAAATTATGATTTATCTACGATATATTATAGATTACAGATATAGATCACTATAATGATATACACATATATATATATATATATTTCGTAATATTTAATATATTTTAAATTTAATAACAAAATTTAATAATACCTAATCGGTTTCATTACAAAGTTTTAATTACACTCACGCACACATTATACACAATGTTCTACATTAGATTACGTATCAATTTATTGCGGAAATAATTTAAGCGGAACAGATACCCTAACATCCATCCGGCAAATCGATACCTTCATCGTGGCAGCGGCCAGTATCGCGTTCCAGGAAGAATGGGGCATCGAGGAGGATCGTGTGTGCCCCGCTCTGTATTGAAATTCAAATTAAAAATCCCGAGTCATAAAATTATCCCCGAAAAACGAAAAGCCGGAGCGAGGTGCGCCGAGTAATTTTCGAGTAATTTCGTGGTGGGCCCCGATCTCCCCCTTCCACGCTCCCCTTCCATTTTGGATCCCTCTTCTGAGCAATCCTGCTAGAAAATAATGACCTGTGCCGCCGGCGACCATATGGTCGCGCGCGCGAGATGCGGTCTTCTCTCTCCGAAACGACGAAGTGCACGAGCGAAACT